CGTTTTCATGGAAATCCGCCATTTTGTTTTGGAATCAACTAGTTCCAGTCCCAATCTCGGTCAAAATCGTCATATTTACGTCATTTTCCTACGGCATGTCGTAGGGTTTTAAGCCAAAGTTTAAAATGCTACGACAAGTCTTGAGGCCGCGTACGTCTGTAGGATCATTTACACGACCCGATTTTGAGCTGATTTTGCCGTATACGTCAAGTCGCGCGCGGCAAATCGTGCCGTGTAAATAGGCCTTAATAATTCTTGGAGAAATTCAAAGCATAAGTTGCCCAAATTTTATGCTTAGTTTAAAAAATCATATTTTCAGATCTCCTTCATGCTAGTGATTTTCTTTGTTTTGTCCTCACGAGTTGTGAATTACTAATGAGTTTGAGACATACCATTCCATCAGTTCTGCAGCAAGTCCCAAAGACTGCTCTCTCTATAGGTGGACGTAGTGTTTATAAACATTGTGATGTAAATGTGCCAACCATTTTAACAATAGGTTTTGTCACATATTGGATTGTCCATAGATATCTGGTTGGCAATTTAAATAACTATCAACCCAAACAATTTCATCCTATGCCCACCTATAATCATAGGGGAAAATGGAATGCTACATACCCCTCCCCTCAGACCGTCATTCACTTTCCATAATTAGGGGGGGGGGGGGGGGGATGGATTGTTGCACACCCCTTCCCTCAGTCCGTCAGCCACTTTCCCATTGACGAGACGGATAAGCACGTGATAGTGCTTCTTGAAAATTGCCTGACGTCGTTTCATCAATCATAATTCTCTGACAATTAAATTTAAGAGTTGAGGAAACTTTACGTACCTTTCCTTTTCAATATTTGAAAGTAGAAAAGCCTCTTTAGTAAACTTTTGAAGGTCATTTGGCTCCTTTTCTTTGTCGTGAATGATTGCTTTAATTTTTTCCTCTTCAGCAGCTTCCTCTTCGCTCGGACTTCCTTTTGAGTCTTCGCCATCATTCTCTTCGAGGTCTTTGTCTTTGTCTGAGTCATCTTGAGGTTCTGATAAGACATGAGATACCAGAAATCCTTTCTTTTCTTTTGATTTTTTCTTTTTCTTTTTCTTTCTTGAGCTGTTTGGACTTGGTGGTTTTTCTTCTGGCTGATCTTCAGCAGCTTCCTCTTCGTTCGGACTTCCTTTTGAGTCTTCGCCATCCTGATTCTCTTCGAGGTCTTCGTCTTTGTCTGGATCATCTTGAGGTTCTGATAAGACATGAGATACCAAAAATCCTTTCTTTTCTTTGCATTTCTTCTTTTTCTTCTTTTTTCTTGAGTTGTTTGGACTTTGTTTTTCTTCTGGCTGATCTAGAAATGTCGAAAGACTTGACCTGTCATCTTCGCCTCCGGTCTTTTGCTTGTCGTTCTGACTATTTTCGGAATCC